TGGATGGTTAAGACCAAGGTAAAGCAGGACCTATGCAACAAGAGTTGTAGCTTTTTGGTCTGAGAAGGTCAGTGAAATGCCCTCAGGATTTGTCTAGAATTTTAAATAATAAGAAAATTTTCTCTAAGTTCTTCTGGTGCTTGCTTCTTTCTCTCTTCCGTGTCCTCTCTCCTATCTCCCCAGGCAATTGTAATTGTACGTTGTAATTCCCAAATGCTTCTAATTGGTGTTATCCGTGTTGTATAACCTTCTTAGTTTTCAATAGTAATGATAATTAGTATTCTATAGGCATAACCTAATATGTCTAAAATAAAGACTAAGTTAACCAAGGTATTGGGCATTGCCAGTTTGAAATAGGACAAAGCAAGAGAAAAAACTATTTAGAAATTGAGTTGAAAAAAGAAAGAAATTGAGTTGATATATCAATGACATTAATGTCATGTCTGCTACCTGCTCTCCTTCAACATAATTATACAAAGTGTGAATGGAACATGTGGTGTAGGGAACCAGCCTACTAGTTTGTCACCTGACCAGGGGGTGAACAGATGAAAGACAAAAAGACATAGAGTTACTATAGAATGCAGCTGCCAGGGGGCTTCTGCCTCTTGTGGACAGAGAGACCTGAGTGCCTGGCTCACCTGCTTTTATTCACTTAGACACAGGTATAAACAATTAGAGTAGCAGAAGATTCATCCTGTTATTTTAAGTATAAGCCCAGGTAAATAGCCAGATCTCAGTCAACTGTGTATGTTGACTTTTCCCTAGACCCTGCCACAAGCCACTGTCCCTGAGTGCTGCCAAAGGAGCACAGTTCGCTGTTTTATTCCTCTGTGCTCACAGAGGAGGTCAGCTAGGCCTCAGTTCTCACTGATCTCAGAATAGGGTGGGTGTTTAAATCTTCAAAATTTATTACAGGGGGGGGAACTACCCGCTTGGGCCCCCCCTTCTGTCCCTCTCTTGGGACAGGAGCTTTCTTTCTCTCAATAAATATATTCTGCTCATAACCTCCATGTGTTCCTAAAATTCATTCTTTGGTTTTAGAGAACATGAACTCGTGCAGGTCAGGTCCAGAGATCATTTTTCCCTATGTCATTTGGAGGTTCCCTATATTGCTTG